CTTTGGAAGAGAGGATCTCCTCCACCCAGTGAGGGGCTAAAGATGTATGGCCCAAGCAAGCCTTTTAGAAGAGAGAATAAAAGCTCTCGCATTTGTCAAGCCCCCGTTGCATGCTTGATGCCTTACATTCAGTGTGTCATTACGCTTCACTACAACTCCCAAATTCATGTCGTTCTCTTGTGATATTTCCACTATGCTGTTCTGTTTCCATAGAAAAGGAGCAGGGTGTATGTGAATTACAGAGTTTGGGTTCATTAACTTTGGAGTTAGAGAGACCTGGGTTTCCATTCTGGCTCTACCATCTTTCACCTTCCCTCTCTGAACTGTAATTCCCTCATTGTGACTCGGAATATTGACAGAGACTTCATGAAATATTCCCATTTTCTTTACTGTCATAGGCCTTGCCTCCTTGTGAGAAACTCCCATAAGATCATCAGCCTCTTGCTTGTGACTGCAATTCCCTGCCCATCCTGCTAGGGTGTCTGACCCAGGGTCAGATTGAGTGTTCACACATCTAATGTGTGCTCTTGGACTCCTCAGCATGGCTTTCTACATCCCTGGTCTCTCTAAGCCTGTCTGCCCACCCCAGCCTTTGCTTTCTTTGGGGCACTCCCTTACCAGCCCAGCTGACCTGCCAAGTCCAATCCACCTTGGTATCTTCTGTGGAGTCAGTGCACTTGGCATTAGGGGAAGAGCCAGGTAGGAGCTGAGCCACAGCCCATTAAACCCTGGAGCCTGGGCCTGCTGGAGCCCTCTCCCTCAAGTTGGCTTCCCCATGGGACCTCGCACCCCCCAGCTGGGAACAACTTCTTAAGGTGGAGTGTGAGATTTGGCCCTGGGCTTTGCAGATAATGAAAGTAGCATCATTAACAACCCTCACGAGTCCAGAACTTTATCACCGATGGGGCATTTGTATTCCTGTTTTCCCATCTGGTCTCGCGACAGCCAGGGGAGATAGGCAGAGTCAGAATCGTTCCTACTATTTGACATTTTAGGAAACCAAAATCTAGAGAACTGAAGTGACTTGCCCAAGGTCATGTAAGTGGCTGGTGGCAGAGCTGGGATTTGGACCCAAGGCTCCAATTCTGGTCAGCAGTTCAGCGGCACATTATCTAATGGCTGAGACCTGAGTTCTTTCTAGTTATGTCAACTTGGACAAATCCTTTAACCTCACTGAAACTTCCTTTTCTTATCTGTAAAAATGGTATAACAACTACCTATCTCATGGGCCACTGGCAAGGGTTAGGTGCTTAGCCTAGTGTCTCCCACATACGAAATGTTCAGTAAGTGAAAACTATTATTTTAATAAACCCAAATGGTAAAACCCTGTTGCATGTTTGGGATATGCTATTGCTGTTGTGCAATGAGGAACTTGCAAACATTCTGTGGAAAGAATGTGAGGTAGAGGTCTGTACCCTAAACCCAGGCAGGGCCAAAGCCTAGTCACAGACCATTCCTGTCTCACTCTGATTCTCTCCTTTGGCTCCAGAGCTCTCTATTTCTGACTTTGTCTCTCTTTCACTAATATGTATAAGATATGAAACAATTAAAAATAGATCTTATTGTAAAATAGTTAAATCAATACAGAACTTTATTAAGTGAAGAGTGAAAGTTTTCTTCCACCACCCCTTCCCCATATTTCCCCTTCCTTCCCCAGAGGTAGTCACTATTAACAATTTAGTGTGTTCCTTCCAGACCTTCTCTAAGCATGTGTGTGTGTGTGTGTGTGTGTGTTTCCTTTAACAGAAATCGAATCATTTTTACTTGTTGTGTCACTTACATTCTAAATTCATAAGTCTTGGAAGCTTTTCTATGTCTGATCTACTTCATTCTTTTAATCCGATATCTGGTATTTCATAGTATGGATATGACATAGTTTGTCTAATAATTTCCCTGCTGATGGACATTTGAGTTGTATTCAATTATTGCTATTACAAATAATATTATAATTAACAGCTTTTTAATATGGATTTGGGGGCACACATGCCTAAATATTTCTCTGAGATAGATCCTTAGAAGCAGAGCTTCTGAGCCAAGCAATAAATCCATTTTAAATGGAATAGAGTGTGCATGTGCAGGGACCATCCCAGTTTCAGACCTCGAGGCTTTGAGAACACTAACACAGCAATGATTGAGATGGCTCTGCTAAACCAGCGCCTGATGCTGCACCTAGAACCAGGAGAAAACCATGCATGAGCAATTCATTACAGCCCACAGAAGAGACTTCCACAATCAGTCTCTACTGACCATAGATTTACAACTACATGTTGCAAGATGACTAAGCCATTGGCAGCTGGGTATAAAACTTCATGAAAACCAAAATATGGCTGCAGCCCCTCCTGATCTAATAAACTTCATGATGAAGCTAAAGATGGTTTGAGAAGTTTCTTTAGAGGGGATGCAACAGGTGGAGGAAACAGGAATGGGGGCTAGAATTCACTAAAAATGCCTTGTTTCATAATTTTGACTTAAAATTGTTATAATTGTGACTTTAAAAAGTCCTGTATGAAGATCCTCATTACTATTTGCTGAAATGCTCACTCTCTGCTAATGCTCTTGCTTAAAGTTCCATGTAAGCTCTACATCTTTATCACAATTTTCTGAGGAAGACTTTCTTCCCTTTAACATCTGCCACAAAAATGTCACCACCTCCTCCATTAGCTTTTCGGAGAATGGTTTCCTTTCTGCCTGTCTGATGGGCACTGTAATTCTGCCCATTCCTGACCCCTTTTTGACCCATATGAAACCTGAAGGAGACCAAGTGTTAAAGTGTTTTGGTTTAACTGAGCGTAAATTCCATTTTTTGATGCTAAAGTCAGTCTCTCCCAACAGGTAGCAACAGGATGCCACACCACATCTTGTCAGCACTAGAATGAAACCTCTTCTCCCATGGGAGCAGCTCAGGGCTTCTGTTCAGTCGGTTCACATCCAACGCATTGTTAAATCCATAAGGACTCCCAAACAAGCAGTAGCAGGTGCCACAGGTCAAAATATTTATGGGAGACATTTTTACCTTGAATTAAGTATCCTCTGTGCTTCCACTATACCCTGTGCTCCCCTCTGAAATGGCTCTCAACACACTGTGCTATTTCTGCCCATGTCTGTCTCCCTCACTAGACTGTGAACAAATTGAGGGCAGTAACTGTCCCAATTTATCTCTGTGTCTCTAGCTCCTACTGCATAGTCTAGCACCTCCCAGATACTCATGAATGACCAAATGGGGAAAATTATATTTAGCAGCTTGATACTTATTGTGAATGTGAAAACCACCACAATCCTACTGTACGCACGGGAAGACGTGGACCAAACATTGAGAACTACTATTGCAGATTGTGCAGACAATGGAACGATGCTTTATAAGAGTTTATAATGAAATATTATGTTCAAATAGAGCAAAAATGTATAAAGCCTAGAGTACACAACATGGCACGTCATTCAGGGAAACATTGATAACACCCCATAAAGCCCCTCTCTGATTACAACCCTCTCCCTCTCCTACAGAATTCAACGTGATTCTGGTTTTTATAATAAATATGCCTTCTATTTTCTTCAAAGTCTATGACATCTGTATGCATTGATAAAAAATATAAATTAGCTTTGCCTGTCTTTAAACATTATATAACTTGAATCATGCTGTATATACTCATTTAAGTCTTAGGTTTTTTGCTCAACACGATTTGAGATTCTTCCATGTAGTTGTCTGTGTATGTAATTCCTTCATATTTTATGGGCATATAGTGTTACATTTTATGAACATGTCACAAATTTGAAAAATGCTGCTATGCTAGATTGTAGAGTATGTGTATCTTCAACATTATAAGATAGCGATAAAGTGTTTTCCAAAGTATTTATAACAATGAACACTCCCACTATCAATGTATGAGAGTTCCTATGACACACATCCTTGCCAACCCTAGTATCATGAGACTTGAACATTTTAGCCAGTCTCATTGGTTTCTAGTGGTATCTAATTTTGTAATTTGTACTTCTATTACTAAAGAGGTTGTACACTTTTTACTATATTTATTTGGTATTTATTTATTCTCTCTTGTGAACTATTTTGCTCATTTTCCTAATGGGCTGGCTGACTTTTCTTATTGATTTGAAGTGATTTTTTGTATATTTTGGCTATGAATCCTGAGTCCTTTAGTAGATTATATGCATTGCAAAAAACTTCTTTTGTTCTGTAGTTTGGTGTCTCAATTTTTTTTTTTTTTTTTGCAGGGAGAGGTGTTCTTCCAAGAACAGAAATTTAATATTTTAAAGCAGGCAAATTTATACTTTCTTTTTCTCTAGGTTTTGAGTGTTTTTTTAAAAAAATCTTGTTTAAGAAGTATTTCCCTACCCCAAGATCAGGACTACAGTCTCCTCTATAGTTTTCTAGTTATGCCTTCATATTTAGGTCTTCAATGAGATGGATTTTTGTGTTTTATTGAGGTTAGAGACATATGGATATCTGATAGTACCAATACCATTTACTACATGTCCATCTTCTATACAGATCCGCAGTGTCATTTTCTTTATATATTAATTGTTTGTATATTTAAGGGACTGTTTCTAGGCTCTCTAGTCCATTTCATTGATCTATATGTCTATTCATGTCTTAATAACAAACTTCTCTGTGTTCTCATCTTTATTACTAGTTAGTCCTATTAAAATTGAAAAATCTATTTGATATTTTTAAGAAAATACTTTTTTACATTTTACCTGACATTTTAGTTAGTCTAGTTGATTTCTAGTTGTATTTATTTGTTGTAATTTGTACTTCTATTACTAAAGAGGTTGAGCACTTTTTCTATATTTATTAGACATCTGTTTATTGACATTTGTATTTCTTTCCATACAAGTGTTCGTTTCATGACCCAGCCTATCATTATAATTGAAATGGAAGTCCTAACAGTAAATTTTTGGCCTTGCTGTGTTATTTTTTCCCTCAAAAAACTGTATTGTCATTCTCTACTCTTAGCACACTGGTATTCTAGGAGCAGAATTAACTATATCTAAGGATCAAGGGCTCCAGAATGCCCTGGGCCCTGGGGACATGCCATTTTGGTGATGGCTGCTTTGACATCCTTATTCCTCAGTGTGTAGATGAGAGGGTTGAGAACAGGTGTGAGAATGGCAAATACCACATTGCCCATGATGTGGAAGTCCAGGGGCAGGTCAGCCCTATAAGCCACATAGGCAATCGCAATGGATGAGTAGTAGGTGCCAACCACCAGCAGGTGAGAGCTGCAGGTGGAGAAGGCTTTTGAGCGTCCTTCTCTGGATCTGATGCGAAACACCGAGGCCAGGATGTGGGCATAGGAGAGAAGCACCAGGAGAAGGGGCAGGAAGGACACCACCATGGCGATGCAGAAGCCCATGAAGGTCTGGGGTGCGGTGTCAGAGCAGGAGGCCTGGACCACAGCCAAGTGGTCACAGAAGCAGTGGTAGATG